TGTTAATTGTTACACTTAGCTTTTTTGCCTTTCCTCTTATCTTTGATCATGAAGTGTGCTTTGTGCAACATGAGCAGCACTGCCCTTCCACAAGACCCTTGTCAAAGAGTAGCTGAAAGAACAAGTTGTGATTATACTCCGGGCGTGTTTCCTTTGCTGTCTTGTATCATTTGAAGATTTTCTTAATCTCTTTAAGGCATTCCATACAAAATCCCTGAACTGTACAAAGCCACAAGAGTCTTAATAAAAACAAATCTTATTAAGAAAGGAGACAGAACACTGGAGAAATGGACTGTGTAACAAGTCTAGGCTAAAATGTTGCTAAAGTGTGTCTTGATTGGTCTCCGTGTCATTAAAAGAAAGTAAGCTGTCTTATACCCCTATAAGTTTCATTCTCTGATTGAACTTTACTGTCTCCCCTCTGACTGTGTCTGGCAACTACCAAATCCAGGAGAGTTTCTGATATCAAATGTCTTCTGTTGAGGGTGGTTTTGCTGTATATTTGCAGCTATCTTTGCTCTTCTCATCCTTGCGAGTGTTGACGAGCGCCGCTGTGGGAGCGGTAGTCCCTGTCTTAGCCCTGCCTGCTGCTGGGTACCTCTCCAGAAGGACAGCCAGGGAGATATGCAGCCTTCTTCAACTGCAGCCCACCCCACGTCCAAAGGTTAGAAACATAGAAATCTGAAATCATAGCACAGGGATCAGTCCAGAGTAGCGCTTACTGCCTGGCATTGAACTATTTAATTCTTTATGTTCATATAGCTTTAAGTTCTTTTGAAAGTGTTGTACAAATGTCACTCCTCATTCTTTTTTCTTACCTTATTTTTTAACAAGCAGATCACAGCTCAAGTCTGTCTACCCTTTCTCCTAAATTATTGACCATGACTTTACATAGTAAATTGCACTGGCTACAAATGTTCACTTTAACATAATTCATGACAGAGTTTAAAGAGGCAGAGCTTACATATCATTTTCTCAGTCAGTAAACAACTGATGTTAATTTTGGCATTTCTCAGCTTCCGAGTGCTTAGTTTTGATAAGATGGTGTTCTTTTCGATACTTAACAGTCCATTTAAATGAAATTACATCCTGCAAAATCCTACTGACCCTCCCTTTCTCTGGAAGACTCCCACTAGTGAGTCTTGCAAGGACTGGAAACTAGATGAAGAGCATCCTCCACTGTCACACCCGCTAAGTGGCACTAGCCATTCCAGGTGGATGATACACACCTTCACCATTTCCCATGCAGGGAAGAGGGTGCCGCTGAGGTGAAGAACGGGATGGCAGATGCACTGTTGTGTTGATGGCAAGAGTTAGGAAGAAACAGAACATACTCTATGGGAATCTGCACTCTGCTGTGTTTAGGTCAATGAAGGAATCATCAAATATGGGCATTTTTTTTTAATATACTCAGCAAAAAGGAAATACCAGAGACCTTGTTTTGATTCTAGACCTTCTTACTAAAAAGCTTGGGGAAAAAAAAAGTTAAGCATGAGCAGAATTTTTTTAACCTTGTTCTAATGAATAGTATCAATAAGGGAAAAAAATCAAGCCTTGAGCAGATGCTTAGGAGTGGAAATTGTACCAAAGATTGAGTTTAGCAAAAGTATAAATGGCTGAAACCAGACGCTTACAGTAGAATTTTTAGGCAACAAAGTTGTAGGTCCTAGATTTACTCATTTAGAAGTAGCTGCAGGGTCATGCTGTCCCTTTCCTGGCGTTACCGTTTTCCCTGCTCTTTCTGATTTCATTGTGTTGTTTTGTCCTCAGAAACACTCCTAAACTGTTTGTATCACCTCATCTGTAACCATTTCTTAGACTTACTTAATTTTTTAAAAAGAATTCTCTGCCTTCCAAGAAGACAGAGAAGATAACCTGCTAGATACATGTAACATGTAAGTTAGTTTTATTGATTCTTGGAGAATTGTCCTGTAAATCACAGTCAAAATGGTTTTGTTTTTAGTTAAAACTGATAAGGATGGATCACTGTCTTATTTAATGGCTTTACTAAAGCACAGTTTTTTCCTGCTTTTCCTATATTGTAAGGTCATTAATGAATCATTATCTATTGCTAGTAATTACTGATCTCTTGAGAATATTGGTTTAATTATATAGGAATCATGTATGGAAGATACAGTTAAATATTCTACAATATAGGTAGTAATACTTTGGTGTATTATGGCTTTAAAGAATCTAGGAGGTTTTTTGTAAATTTTAATTGCTAAGTGTGCCTGGTAAAATATGAATTATTGTATTACTGCATGTGATAAAGGGTATGCTATTGTGAACCTCACAGTGTGCAGGTGTAACAGATGTAAGGTAAGATTAACAGGACAGAACAATAATTAAACCACAGACAGCCATCTCAAAAGAAAAAAAAAAAAGGTTTATCATGTCTAATTCAATAATTAAGTGTGTCTTAAATTCTCTGCAAATATTTGTAAAAGCAATAAAAAAGTGTTAGTTTGAAAGACAGCTTTCCAGTGTGGACACTTAAGGAATTAAGATCCCTTTTTATGAATATAAAAGCTGAGTGAAGTCCTGCCATATGGCAGCATGGTTCATAGGCAATAGGGTCCTTGGTTTACAGCTGATAAGAGCTAAATGCTGTCAAAGAAAATAAGAGAGCAGTTAGTATATATGCATTTACAACAGTATGAATTGCTTACTCCCTTTTAGACAGGAAGGTTCGAATAATTAACAGTAACATTATGGTTGCAAAAGGAAGTCCAGTTGTTCTTCAGCAGTCTACATCTGTGAAACGTGATACCTCTGGGGACTGAGATTTAGTTTTCCCAGGAGAAAATGTAAAAGCAGGAGAAAAAAAGGAATGACTTCTGCTTGAGCAGAATAAACCTGCACCTACAAACGATTAACACTGCATAATGAAGTAGTAAAGAAGCAAAGGAGATTTCTAATAAAAGACTAATAACAAATCCCATTACACCATGGTGCATTTTTTCCCTTGAAGTGTATTAGACTTTTAGCAAGGATTCTCAATGAGATTTGGGTAGTTGCAAGCAAAGTCAGCTCAAATGCTTCGAGCTAAGCTGAAATTTCTCGCCTAGCAGTTTGTGTAACTTGAAAGTTGCGGTTTTACAGGTGGGAGGGGTTGTTAATGCAAGTAATAGGCTTCACGCAGAGTTTGGGTAATGTTTGTGTCACCATAGGATAATAGTCTCCTGTAGGCGAGGCACTGTGGGGTAATTTGCCACTATGTGGTAAAATCCCTTAGAACAGACATGGCATTAAGTGCACTAGCTAAGCCTTGCTTTTGTGTTAACAGTTGTTCTGACTTCCCTTTCTGAGGCCTGAAAATAAGTCCTTATAGGAAAGGCGTTTGATCAGAGAGGGAAATACACAGAGTGTGCATTTTATCATAGCTAATATTGTGTCTTCTGTAATTACTACGCTAACATAAAAAGTTACAAGACCTTAGAACGTAAATGTTCTATATAAGGATGAGATACAGAGATATATTTATGATATATATAGATATATAGATATATATGAGATAAAAGGGTGATATAAGGATGAGATTCTGCTGTCTTTTGAAATAAATTATTTTCAGTTTTGAAAAGCAACATGTCTTGCATGGGAATGACTTATGTGTAGTGATCTCTAAATCTGTAACATGGATGTTTTTGTGGATTGTACATACGATTCCAGTGGCAGGAAGAATAAAAGTTTAACTCACAAAACAGTCCCTTTGAATTTCTTTTATAAGAGAGAATATTTTTGTACAGATTGTTGCTATCTTAAAAGCTTGTGCTCAACTGACGTGTTGGAATTCATTTGTCTAGAAATGAACTTTTATTACTGGAATCGGGAAAAAAAAACAAAACAGGCGCCTTAAACCAACAATGAGTTCTGGGACAAAAGTGGTTAAACATGAATTCTTACGAGTGAAAGTAATCTTGATGAAATTTCAAGTTGCCTTTTTAGAAATTTTTGTGGGTATTAAAGAATGACTTAATTTGCTTAGCAGAAATTTGCAATCAATCTTTTCTTGCCAGTGAATAAACAGATTCCACATGCGTAGTAATTTGCATATCCCAGCTAAAAATGTAATTCATTATTAAGTCCATTTCATAATAACTATTTCCGGATTAATGTTACTAAATATTCTTTAGCTCTTTCAAATGTAACCTTAGATAATCCTGCCAAAAGAAATACAAAGCTAGTGGATGTGTTCTGGAATAGGAAAGGGAAGTGCCTTTCCTGAGGTCAGCAAGTAAGTCAGCATAAGAGCCAGAACTAGAAATAAGAACTCGAGAAATAATTTTCTCCTACTGCATCTCATGCTCCCAGTCTCAGGCAAATACTGCACTTACTAGGACAGATTTTCACATTTTGCTAGGTATGAAAACAGCACAGATATGAACAGGAATTAGTGGTATAGTCTACATGCAGGTTACCACTACATCTGGTAAAGATTTAAATTAATTTTAATCAAAATAGCATCCATAGCATATGTTACATGGAGCTGAAAACACTGTCATCAATAACAGGGAGGAAGCCTCTTCAAAGTAAATGTGACACGGTCCATTTTAACTGCTGTTTGGCTTCTGTGTCTCAACTGGCTTTCACTTGACTGGGCTAGTCAGGGCTTCTCGTAAACCACTGGCTTCACCGTCCTCTTTTTGCTCTTCCAGGATATTCTTGTGTAACATTTTCTCCCTTTCCTCTTAGACCACTATCATATTAAACGCTAAAAAATATCATATATAGGATTGACATGTTTTGTCCTTCGAGGTTCACCCACATAATAGTATCAGTCAGTTAAGCTTCTGCAGTCTGTAATGTATCACTTCTTTAATGTCAAGGCAGTAACATTTCCACAAATACAATTAGTTAAGTGATTATCACAGATCTTCACAGTTTGCAAAATTTTCTGGTAAAATGTTTTGGATTGTATTTGATCCTGGGATATGTGTCCTGACTTTACTGTACTTGACAAAATGGAGAAAGACAAATCACATCTTTTCCCTTTTTTTCAGGCGATGGGTAAGGCTCCTGTTTGGACGTGAATTCCCACTTCAGGACCTTCTAGTTATCTGGGATGCTCTATTTGCTGACAGTATCACCCTGAATTTAGTTGACTACATTTTCGTAGCCATGTTGTTATATATTAGAGATGCCTGTAAGTATCAACTATCTTACTATCTTTTAAAAAGAATGTGAACCTATTTTTCAAATAAAAAGAAGACTTAAGAAATGATGAAATTCATTGTGACTTTTTTAACATACTGAAAATTGTTTCGAGTGCTAGGAGAGGAGCCATTTGTTATCAGATGCGGTCTGCTGTATTTATGAAACAAATTGTATCTTGGAGTTAAATGCAGGTTTGTTTTCTGAGTACTTCTGGTTTTTATATGTAGTTGTAGATTTTATGTGCAGTAAGTGATACAGGTATGTATAGAGCTCCACCTTCTGACCAGGCTGCTGAATTGAGTAAAAACTCCCTTTGACACTGGAAATATTTTTGTGCTGTTCTGCTGTGAGAAATGTGAAAATGCACAAGACAATGAGTCATAATTTTTGAAGATATATCTTGAAGGAAATGTAAATGCAGAGATGAGTAACAATTCAAAATAGGTTTATTCTGTGCAAGAGTGGCATCTTTAAAAAACTGATCATTTCATTTTATTTTATTTTAGTATGTCTGTGTATGTACAAAGGTGAATTTTCATGGGTTAGTGATGACCAATAAATACATTAAGTTGGGACAAACAAGAAATCACAAAAATGTTGTTAGGTTATATAATTGTGGTTGGGAGGAGGAAGGTTATGTTAATTAACAGGCATTTATTTCTGTCTCATCATATTTGGCTAAAAATTCTATATGCAACTTTGCCGCAACAAAGCATGCGTTTTGCAGTAAGATGCATGTCTGTCATTAAATATATGAATTCTGTAGCATGCTGTTCAGAGTTAATTATATACAATCTGTAAGCTTCAGGTTATAACAAGGTCACATATTTGACACAATTTTGTATTCTACAACACATGAAGTTTTCAACATCTGTGGTTCCTATTTTAGGGCTCAATCTTGAAAATATAACGTCCATGTACTTTACACATAGTGTTGTTCCCCTGCCTGCCTTCAGGTTTTTTTTTAATTACTTTTTAATAAACATGCAGCATATAGAGCTACCTTACATTCCTCTCAAAGAAGTGGACAATTAATTCAGTTTAGAGGTTTCAAAATTAATGCTACTGTTTCAGAATTATCTGATTCCAGATCATTATGTTCTGCAGTCTCAATCTGGCTTATAGGCAGTAAACTGAAATAATATTACATTTTTTAGTGTAGATATGTAGTGCAGATGCATGTAAAAATGTTCCTTAACATCAGTATTTTATTTTGTCATTGTTTCCCTTAAAAAAAAATATTTTAGAACTGCATTTGTAAGTACCCTCTCCTGGGGGAGGGAAGGTTGTTCTGGGTTTGTTTTCTTTTGCTTTGTGGTGCTCAGGTACAAGTATCAGTAACTAAAAATATGAGCTTAAAATACGTTGTAGGCATCTGTATGAAATCAATCTCTCTCTTTTCTCTGTAATTCCCAGGCTTAGTAAATAAAGTAGTAAATAGCTTTAAAGTGGAATACATTTGCCCAAATGAGATGCAGAGTCCTACAGGACAGCTAATGCTTCATACTGTAATAAGTAACTTTTTGTTCTATAGTTGGACCTAATTAGTTACTCTGAGCATATTAGAATGATGAAACAAAATACCTAGTCATAAATACTGTAAAGTGGAATATATTTTCAATTTTAGACTCCAACTACAGTGCTTTCCACAGTTCTTGATTTGATGAAAGAAAGCTTTCATTATATATCTGTAATGGAAAAGTTTTCCATTTTTCCTCGTATTTTTATTGCTGAGAATATTTGAACTTCGAATGGAGTTCAAAGTTCTTTTGTAATATTTTTAAAAACATTAAAAAAAAAGTTTCTAAAAGCTTCTCTTTATTTGATGAAAGGAAATGTTAGCTCAAAACACCTGATGATGTTAATAATCTATAAATAAACTGTTTGGAAATTTTCATTTTAAAAACTTTGAAACAATAGGAATAGTAATAGAGCTCCTAAAATACTTTGTTATAAAAATACCAAGCATAAGCAATGATAATAATACAATACTGAAAGTATTTGGAAGTTTTGAAATTATGAAGATTCTTTTACACCGACACATTTGGGGATGGAGGAGAAGTTGCTGATTTGGGAATTGATTAATTTTTTTCTCTGTTTTGTAATGATGTTCTCAAATACATGATTTTAAGAAAGTATTTTTTCTGCTATATTTTTCATTTAATTTTTATTCTAGTTTTAAAATCCTCTGTTACTCAAGTGATCTATTATTCAAGGAGAAGGGAGCATTTAGATTATTAGATTATTGGTTATACATTTTAGAGATTACAGATACATAATCATGTACACAGCCATTTTGTAAACTGCTCAGTTTTACATCTATATCCAAGCAGAACTTCATCCATACAGTGGTAATCCTCACAAGCCATGTGTAGGGTTGTGTACCAAAGTATTTGTGAGTTTTAATAAATTATTTGATGGATTTCTTTGGAAAAATTCACGCAAAACAGCCTTTTTTTTAAAAAAAAAAAAAAAAAAAAGTCTGTCAAATCAGGAGCTGATTTGTTATTTTTGTTATTGTGCAAGATGTTTGTATTATCTATGTTTAACTCAGTTTGGAGCCTAGTAAAGAGAACATAGCCATGTGTAAAGCAGCAGGGGGAAGTAGTCCCACCCATCCTGGGTTAGGAAGTGATCCGGATACAGAATTGATGGCATCAAACATTAAACTCTTTAAGAAATTACATGTGGCAGAAAATTAGGACTTGGTTGAGGAAAGGTACAATTAGTTTACATGTTTTTCACCACTATTATTGCTGCTTGCATCCAGGAATGGTTGCTGGACCAACAGAGCAAAGTCAGTCTCATCTAAAGCAGAAAGCAGAAACAAATTTAATGTTCCGCTGAACAATGTGTAACAACTATTAATCAGTAGATTGCTTTCTCCTTGTAGAGGAGTTTCTCTACTCCTTTCCATAGAAATACCAATGGCATTCTTCTTTGGAGAAGTGAGAACTTGTTATTCACAGTAAAACTTGAATCCAGCTGTGACTCTTGCCAGGCCAGTTAGTGAAGGAAAAGCAGGTACAGCAGCACCAAGCTTATTACAAGGCAACTGGACACAGTGTGAGGTATTTCACCCTTGGAATTTCAGCATCATCCAGCTAGTGCTGAGACTGAATTTGTATTGCACAGATTCTCCTTCCAGAAACTATCTTACAATTGATTCTTATAAATTCCTTTAATTCCAATATGCTTATTCAGAAAAGGAGTGGATTTTTTTGTTGTTGTTTTACTGCTATTTTCTTTATCATTTTTAAAACTGCCACTCTTTTGGATAATATTATACATTTTGTCCTGAAGAAATAGGAATCATAGAATTGTTTGGGTTGGAAGGGACCTTCAAGGACCGTCTAGTCCAACCACGGGCAGGGACATCTTTCACTAGACCAAGTTTCTCAAAACCCCATCCATCCTGACCTTGAATACTTTCAGGGATGGTGCATCCACAACTTCTCTGGGCAACCTGTGCCAGTGTTTCACAACCATAATCTTAAAGAATTTCTTCCTTATGTCTAATCTAAATCTACCCTCTTTCAGCTCAAAACCATTACCCCTCATCCTGTCACTACAGGTCCTGGTGAAAAGTCTCCCTCTCTCTTTCCTAAAAGCAGCCTTTACATATTGAAAGACTGCAATAAGGTCTCCCTGGAGCCTTCTCTTCTCCAGGCTGAACAACCCTGACTCTCTCAGCCTTTCCTCACAGGAGAGGTTTTCCATCCCTCTGATCATTTTTATGGCTTTCCTCTGGACCAGCTCCAACAGGTCCATGTCTTTCTTGTGCTGAGGACTCCAGACCTGGATGCAGCACTGCAGGTGGGGACTCACTAGAACAGAGTAGAGGGGCAGAACCACCTCCTTTGACCTGCTGGCCACGCTGCTTTTGATGCAGCCCAGGATTTGGTTATTGGTCTTCTGAGCTGCAAGCGCACATTGCCGGCTCGTGTCTAAGAACAGCTCAATTTGAAACAAAGAAAAGTATCAAAAGGTATTTCAGCAAAGTAATCCCTTTAGCCCAAGATTCCCCGGCAAATACAGCACTGGCAATTATGTTCTCTCGTGTAAAGATTTCTACATGAAAAAGGGACAGCTGAATATGTGGGGAAACCTTCCTCATTAAAGTCTTGGAGTTTTTTCAATTTTGGATGGTAAGGTTTAATTTTAAAATTTAACTTTTAGGGATCAGAGGGGACATAGGTCATTGCCCAACAGTTTGATTTTTTTTTCCATTATTCAATTGCTTCACTATTATATATTTCAGTAAATTAATAATTAGAGTAAGTGTCTTGTGCTTGAAAATGTATTTTTTTTTTTTTGTCAAGGATCAAGTCTGCACCATTAGAAAAAAATCTTTTTTTTGGTATTTTCTCTTCTCTATATCTCTGAGACAGTAAAGAACTCTTCCAGGAAAAATAAATGATAATTTTAATCCATTTTACATTGCAGAATAGAACACATACTGATCTGTTCAAAAGAGAAATGCATTGGTCTTAATGCCTATCATTTATAAAAGTATTCAGAATTTACTATCCATTTTCAATATTTTTATTTGCTTTGGTAAAAAGGCATGATCATAACTGCGGTACAGTATCTTAAATTTGATTTACGTATGAGACTTTGATTTGGTATATACTATGTGGTGCTCATATTATACTCCTCTGAAAGAACTCTGACGGAGACCATTGTATTGTGTTCATTATGCCAGCTTTGTGACTTCAAGAAGAAAAAACAGGTACCTGAATATGAACAAGAAAAACAAAGGGTAGGAAAAAGAAAAGGCAGAACAGATAAAGAATGAGTAGGATAAGTGAGTGCTTTACAAATGAAAGCAGATGTATGAAATTACAAGCTGTCGGATCAGCAACGGAAATGAAGATGATAAAGTGGTTACCTACACAGATTATAATTATTCATTTTGCCCAGTCCTGTATCTTTCCCCCATAATCCTCTTGTTGAGGGAGGAGAGGTACAGGAGGATATGCGGCTTATTCACATGAAAGAAAAAAGTAAAACATTTAAATCCTTCTGTCCGCAAAACAGTCATTTATTTTGCCTTTTATTGATTCAAAATAATTTTGTGTTTGCAATGATCCTTTCTGGTGTAGAGGCCTGGTTAATTAAAAGTATTTGTTGCTACAGTTAAAGTTCTCAGAATAGTAAAGTTTGTTAAAAATGTATTTACAGTTGCGACTGTTGGAAGCTGTCTTTATGTTACAGAGTGCAAGCATCATTAACAGGCATTGCTTTGACAGCTGTGGCAGATGGATTGCCTGGATTTAGATGGTGCAAAAGAAATGAAGTAGTTTACATAGACCTGCCTGAAAAGATGTCTTTAATAATTGCACTCATAATTAGATTTATTTGGGGAAAAAATGAAACAAAACAGAAGACAACAATGACAAGCAAAGAACCGTAGAGTATACTTATATAGATTCAGATAAAATCAAATGCTATTATAAAAAAATCAGAAACTTCAGCAAAGCATGCTGATAATTTCCCGAATAACTAAAAAATTCTAATAAAATTAATGGTATATTACATTTTTAAGTATTTATGAAATTAAAATCTAGCCTTTTCCCTTTTTCCCGAACATTTTGTGAATAGTTTTTGATTTATGAGAAAACAAGTTGTTGATGTATTTTTGCATATGTATATATATATATATATATGCATACACGTACATAAGAACAACATAAAAGATAATTCAGCAAAGAATTGTCAGAGTGGAGGAAAGTGATCATAAAAGCAGGACCAAATGTAAAATCTGTCTCACTAATTATCATACTTTAATTTAGATGTCTGCAGATGTGTGTCTGAAAAGTCAGTGTCCATTTCAGAGGGTGGGACTGATTCTTCAGGGTCTATTGCCTGTATTGCCCTGACCTCCACTGACTCAGGCGCCCTTTAGGTGCACAGCTACAGAGATCTAAATGTAGGCATCTAAATCTGGAGCTAACATAAATGTCTGTGACATAAAGTCAGGGCTGGGTTTAGCATTGTCCTTAATGATACTGGACCAAGCCTGGGCATGAAGTTTGATTATGCAGTATCTTCTTTTAATCTGAGTGCTGCTTGAGTTCTAGGAGACCTAATGTGAGAAAAGGCAGCTGATTCTGAATTGTAATGAATCTACTGAAAAAAGTATTGGTTTGGAATATCAAAATAAGGTAGTAATGATTCACTTCTTTTTTTTCTTTTTTTTTTTTTTTTCACTTTCATTGCAGTGATTTCAAGTAATTATCAGACCTGTTTGGGACTTCTGATGCATTATCCACCTATTGGAGATGTTCACTCCCTTATCCTAAGAGCACTTTTTCTCCGAGATCCAAAGGTGAGATGCTCACTTTGTAAATACAGGGAATAAATCTCTGTAATAAAATGTTCTAAATACTATGACGTTAATAGCAACCTACATTTTGGGGACTAAACTGTAATTTCAAGTTTCTTCTTCCCTAACAAAAAAGCTGAAGGAAAGAGTTGGTAACCAAGAGCAGGAACAAGTTCCTTTTCTCTTTAAAGGATACTCTCCTACTACTTTGCATTCGTAATAAAGTGTACTTTTGAAGGAAACAGTAATATTTTATATAATAACCTAGTAAGCTGTATGCAAACTGTTGCACAGTTTCGTCTGGAACACTTTTTAAATGAGATTTCTGCAAATTAATCACTGTTAACTGTTAAAGCACTACCTCAGCTCAATATATAATAGTCATGTGATGGTTTTCAATTAAAAACAAGTCTGTTGTTACAACCTGAAAAGATTCACATTAATAAAATGTATAAATTCATACATTTTATGTTACATATTACAGTTTCTAAGCTCATTATACTAGAAAAAAGCAAACCTCTTGCTGTTTTAGAATGGCCTATGTATACCTGTGGATATAATATATAGCAAATATCCACAGTCTAGTGGATAAAGTGTTTGAGATGAAGCTGTACACAGTAATCTTTGCACTATCCAGATCTTTGGCAGATAGCAGAATTTGTCCTGTTGGTTTTGAACTGTCTTTGTGCATGTCCCATTAGTAGGTTGCCAGCATGAAGTCTGATCACCCTCACCTTTTTCATGCACATCACCTTTGAAAGTGAAAAATTCATTGCTTCTGCACTCTGACTGCTTTGTGCAAAATTTCTTTCAGTACCAATGTTTACACTTTTATGGATTTAAAAAAATATCTCTTTGTTTCTATATGTTTTTTGCAGAAATCTGTATTCTTACAGTTGCTTTCTTCATTCCTATTGGGCACAAAGATTTCTTTCATGACAAGAAGTAAAGTATATCATCTTTTCAGTGTGTAAGAAAGTTTGTAACATTAGATCTCAGGAACCTCTAAGATTTCAGCCCCAGCCTGTGAAATCAGACTGCCCAGCATTTAATTATGTACTCTTTTAGCAAAACAAGATAGAGATATTTTTTAGAGGAAGGAAAATTGTGCCAAGATATCAAGCTAAATTCAAAATGTATCTGTATTTATTGAAGGTATATGTTAAAAGATAGAATGATTACTGATTATTCAGCTGTCCTCCGAAGCATCCTAGGCATTATGCAAGATGTCCTACCAGCTGAAGGGGACAAAAACAAAGCACCAACTTCCTGTGAAAGAAGCTGAATCGCTATTCTGCTCCTTATGCTCTTGTCTCCAACAGAATGAAGTTGTCAGGCTCATAAGGCCTCAGTGTCCTATTAACTTTCTCAGGTGCGCATTGAACACCTTTCAGAAAAATACTGGATGTAGCTCCTACTGTGTCTTTCAGGTAGTTCTCCCTTCACTCAGCTGAATGAGTACCTAAAGCTCTTTCATGCAAAAACGACCAATTGTTTTGTCAATTTAAATACGATTAATTACAATTATTCCTCATTTCTGACCTGTACTTATCTGCTTGGGAAATACAGTGAAGGTTAGGAAGCTGGGATTTCCAGAGAATAAAGAGCTCTAAGGGACTTCCAGTCACCTCTCATTTTACATTGGCTCTTTGGGTTGAGAATGAAAACCAGATCTGCACTTCCTAGGGTAAGGATGTTAAACTGTTTTAAAGGATCACTCTAAAAAAAAAAAAAAAAAAAAAAAAGGCTCCTTGTCTGAAAGAGAAATATGTTTTCAATGCTATGACTTGAGTACCTGTTTTCTATCTTTCCCTTAAGTTTCAGTTACCTGCCTTTAAGCATATGTTGATGCAGCCCAACGTATTTCTGAAACAGGAGTCTTGTTATTCTGTAAGACCTACACAGAAAAATTTTCCAAGTTTGTCAAAATTTTTCATTACTCAGAATGAAAGGGAAGACTCAACAAGACATCATGGGTGCTGTAGGAATCTAAAATCAGTACACAGATTATATACCAATATCAGTGGGAAAATTATGGTACCTTTTTTTTTGCTGTCTGCATAAAGATAATTCAGTTTGCCTTTTTTTCCCTGAACAGATAAAAGGATATTGGAAGAAAAAGCAAGATTTTAGTCAATAGTGTAACTTGTAAGTGATGATTAGCAAATTCAGTGCTTAATGATTTTTCTTCCTCCTTTGATGTTTTCCCGTGCATTTCTCTGTCACTAGCTTACAGTTTCTAATGGGAAATTAAATTTGGTTCAGTGCAATTTAGATTTCCTGAGCAAGGACTGAGTTGTTCCATGTGGCATTTTTTCCAAGATTTTGCCTGGGTTTTAATGTGTGAAGTCGGGGAACTCTTCTGTGGGAGACTGGTGCATGGTCCAGTGGCTTATTTCTTTATTTGTTTAACATAGCCACAATGTTTAGTGTTATTCCAAATATCTGAGGGAAACTTGCTGTCCACCCCTTGAAGCTTTAAATCTCAGCTGGACAAGAAATGCAGTTTAGAAGTCATGGACAGGAACAAACAAGAATCTGCCTATTGCAGGTGTGTTAATATATTTATTGTCTTCTGTATTACTTTAACAGCTAGTTAGCTGACAAATAATCTTACCGAGGGGAAATTGTGGGGTATTTGGACTAAGAGGTTGGTGATACATATGTAAAACTGAAAGGTTCTTAAGGAACAATCCTGTCATAAATGGTGAAGCAGATAAGATGGACCTGATACAGTCAGTCTTTCCATCCATAACTTCCAATTCTGGACTTAACCTGAGTTTTCATGTCTAATTTCATCCATTATTTCTTCTGTTTCAAAAGATACCTCCTCCTTACTTATTGGTCTTGTAGACTATCAGGAGAGGTAAACTTTGGCTTGATGAACCTGTTGGCTTTTGTTTGCTATTTTTCACTGCTGTTAACACCAGGAAAGCGACCTAAATGACAAAAGAAAGCTATACTTAAAAGATTGGTGGCATTTTTTTTCTTACAGATGGACAAATACAATTTCCTGACCTTTTGTGGAATCAGACCTTAGCAGAAGCATTAGCATTATCCGCTAATAACAATAAGAAAAGTAATTAGTGCTTTCCATTAATTTAATGCTTGCAGCAACTCTCCTCTTCACTTAGTGGACCTTAGTTGGTGGTTGGGATGAGATAACATTTTAGATTCCACATCCCTGGTAAATTCCAGTGCCATGGAAGGGGAATACACATTCCTGTAATAGCTGAAAACAAGTTGATGCACCTGTCTCTGAAGGGGGCGGGGGGGGGGGCTGAGAAATATAATTTTACAGGCATGAATATGGAACAATTCAGAATAATTGAATTTCAGCCTTTTCTGAATTTGGCTACCTCCAGTTCTTAGGAAAATGAAGAATGAAAAGCTCAAATCAGTGGTGTTGTCTTTGCATAGGGTGACAAAATTAACCTGCTTAGCAGAGTATTTGTTTCACATTTCTGATCTTTGAACAGATAATTGCCTCAATTATTTATATGAAAGTAACTTCTATGCACTTATAGTCCTTCTGAATATAAAAGTAGAGCTTCTTATGGAAGAATGGGCCATTAAAAGTATGTGTATGTGAAATGAGAAAATAAGGTAAGGGTTTTTTATGTATGTCCAAAAGCATTTACTGAAGGTGTGTCTCTGTGTATTTAATATCCCATGAGTGGCCCATTTTCTTAATTTTTTTCCTTATCAAAACCGTTGAGCACTGTTAATTTTCAAAGCAAAGGCTGCAAAATTATGAAGTAGAGATATGGAGATAGGGCAGTGGAAAAATATAAAGTAATTAAAAAACATAGTTCTAACTAGAGTTGTTCAAATAAAAAAAAAAAATTAAAAACTCAATTAGAAACAAAAGTCATAGAAAATGTGAACATATTGTGTTCCTTAAATAACCAGATGTTCTTTCCTTCCTGAAGGCAGCCAGGGCTAGGAATAAAAGGTTTAAAACTATTGTTTTAAGTTAACTGTGAATTTTGCAAATCTGTTTTCACCCTTTAGCAAATAAAATTCTAATACAGCAACATAAGCAAAGTAATTTTCATCTTTGGGTGTTCTTATTTGTATGTTGTTCTGTGTTGAAGTGTTAACCTTATCACAATGACTTATTAGGAAACTAAAGCACTACATAGAATATCATGGTTTTACATTGCATACTAAGAACGTGACAACCATCCTTTGTCTGAAGGCTTGCTGTGTTTATTCTGAATATTTTTGTAAAATAGTTTGCTCTCAGATATTTTGACCTGGTGAGTTACACTATTTGTTGAGCCAAGCTAGTTAGAAGCTTAATTCAAGGGAGACACCTTTTATCATAAGCCATGAATTTAAAAAAAAAAAAAAAAAAAAAAAGTGGTTGTGCTTGGTTGATAGGAATTAATTTGCTAGTTATGCTAATAATGTTCTAGTTACTGCTGCTGGTATTTTCTCAGCATTGTATTTTAAGCTGTTTGTTGACATTGAAAGTGGTCATGTAATATTAAATTCTAACTAAATCCATGATGAAGCATACATGGCATTTCAGAGAAGTCCTACGAGTTCATCATGACTGAAACTACAGGTACTGCCAGAAAACTTAAGCAATAATGTATGGTCATAATCACTCAGATAATGATTAGTCAGAGAAATCTACATTCCAGCTTTTTACACCTTTCACAATCTGAGCAATATGCCACAAGGGGAAAACACATTACTGAAATTCTGAACTGAACCCTTTGTACATTTATCTTCGGCTGAATTTTCTTCTTAAGTAGCTGCCACCATCTCAGAGTTTTCTCCAAGCTAGTTTCATGTGCCTGAAAGGCTCTTGAGTTTCACTTTCTTCTTCTTCAGATAAATTCTTTTCTATACACTCATTAACTGAGGTGCTGCTGCAGAAGTGCAACTGTCCTTTGAAAGCAGCCGTTATGTCAGTATTGTTTGTTTTGCTGTTTGTGGCAGGAGAAAAACAGGTTTGGGGGTTGTTTTGTTTGTTTGTTAGCATTGTGTGT